TGGGGAACATTTTGATTAGCTATTTTGAGTGCGTGAATAGTCAAGACTAGCCTCTAGCTGTAATGTAAGAGGAAATGAGAAGTTGCAACTTTATATACTTGTCCCTTAACCTCTCGCATCCGATTTGATAAAAGAGGCAATAACAAATGCTCCCCGCTGCCCCACTCTATTCAACTCTTCAGTAGCTCAACTGTTGGGTCTTGGGTCACTTTCCGGTCTAATGGCCCCAAGCGTTCACACCCAAACTACCGAACTCATGCATAGACCACCCTGCGAAAACTTACCATTCAGCAGGAAGGAAAAACCAGCACTTCGGACGGGAAGAAAGGCGTAAACAGGATACTCCGTTGGTGGGGATGTGTCGCTCAGATTGATTCCAATTGAGATGCTTGTGTGCTTCAGTGTTACCTGCAAGATTAGACAGGTAAGAATGTCTTAAGTCCTGAGACCAAGAAGACGCCAACAAGTAAAAGGACGGTAGTCCTGGAGTGAGAATGAATACTCATCCTCAAAACCAGAGTAGGATCTGAGAATGTAAGCCTTAACGCTTACCTTGCTGTGACAACCCAGGCGACGGAGTTGATCGGGATCGACCCGAAATTTACGGGTGAATACAAGCCATTGGTGCTTATTTGTCACCGTTGGGATGGGCGGGAGGACCTCGGAGTTGGGGGACGCCAGACAAGTCTCCTCGATTGTCACGACTTCCAGGTAGGAGGAGGGCTCGCCAACTGGCGAAAAGAGTCGTTTTGAAGTTTTGACTAGCCGCCGGTAGTCAAAAATGGAAGCCTGTATGATAACCCAAATGTAGATGTTAATGAGGAGCCTTCTGGTCTGTTGATTCATTCACGATGGTAATTCTACTATGTACAGCATTTGACTAAAGATCTAATGGATTAAGTGTATCGAGAAAATGGAGCGGAGGAGCTCCTATAAAACAGGAATAGTGATAATATTAGTTTTATTAGTAAGTAAGATGAGTGAAAATACAAGCGGAGTCTGTTGGGGCCATTGATTATACTCGCATTTCTAGCAGAAGTTTATCTTATTAAATAGTCTGTTTGTCATAAAGTCTATAAGTGAAGTGATGGTTGTCGCTAAAATAATCTGGTTCTTAGCTAACAAATGACACTTTATAAGACAAACTATGCTTTCTCTTTAAGATGAGTCCTTTCTTTAGTGTGATATAGCTTGCGGGGGCGCAGGATGAACGGTTTGCACGCCACATGGAGTTTTTGCGAACGGTTAGGAACCGAACTGTACTTCCGGAGGTGAAGAGTGTCCTCCTGGCCTCGTGCGTATAAACTACTCTTTCGGAAACAGCAA